CTCTCTCTCTCTCTCTCTCTCTCTCTCTCTCTCTCTCTCTCTCTCTCTCTCTCTCTCTCTCCGGCAATTATAGCTATGCAATACATATTATTCTGGCTTTACAAATTTCAACGGAAGCCCAATTATGGGCAGGAATAAAATATTTCTGTAATAAAGCCCCTCAAACATTGGGCTGTTTGAACTGTTGCCAGTTTTTATAACAATTTCCATCTTAAGCTGGCTCAATGCATATTTAATGAATGTTTTTTTTTATATACATAAAGCCTTTAACAGCCCTCAATTCCTTTCAAGTGGTAAATGAGTCTGCAGTTTGAAGGAAGCAGCGGCATTCACACTGTATTGGTTACTTAAGGAGCAGAAAGGATTCTTTTTTTTTTCCCCGTTTTTTTCTCTCACCTAAGTAACTTTGCAGGGGAGCCACAGCAAAGCCAGACCTACAGCAGTAAGGAGGGTGGAACACATACATGTGCCAACTCTCCATTTCATACAAGCCAACTGGAGACTTACTCACCCTTTCCATAATGTTTAACAACTGGAAGTTCCAAGCAATCCATTAACATTTCTGCAAAAGAGGTTAGGTAGGAGACAATAATGCACACTAAAGGACAGTCAATGTTTCTCCTCCCCACTTGCCTCCAAAGATGGGAAGCTAGTTTTGAAATCGTTCTGTTTTATGCGCACCATACTGCTTTCCTTCTACAACACCCCAGAGTCTTTAAGCCATTATTAGATGCTGAAGTGGCTTGCAAAAATATGCACATCTGGAAGAAGGTACAGATGGTAGGCCAGGCTGTCCAGTGTCTTAAATGTCCTCATTTAATAGCAAGCTCAGGTGGTGAATGACCCTTGGAAGGAAGCCAGGTAAGGGCTGCTGAGCCCTGAGAAAAATAAAGAGGGTGAGAAGAACCATGAAGTTTGCAGAAGAATGTCTCTCTGTGCTTGTATATACTTAGACATGCCTGCATAAGTCTTCTCCCCTCCCTCCCAAAATGGCCTTGGGAAGATTCTGCATCTTCAGTAACTTATTAGGTTGAAAATAAGAAGAAGAGCCCTGTTGACGCAGTGGTCAAAATGCAGTATTGCAGGCTAATTCGGCCAACTGTCAACAGTTCGATCCTGACCAGCTCAAGATTGACTCAGCCCACCATCCTTCCGGAAAGGAAAATGAGGATTCAGATCATTTGGGGCAATATTCTGACTTATTAGTGAGGGTTGTAAAGCACTATGGAGCATTATGTAAGTGCCAATTATATTGCTAAAATCAATTTAAGAAGAGACAAGTTTGCAATTTGCAATTCCATTTTTTAATCCCATGTGAGTATGATGGCTCAGTGGTTAAAGAGGTTGAGGAAAGCTGATAGCCTGGGTTTGAGACCCGAGTTCCATGCAATGGGGTGAGCTCCCATTCCTGCCTCAGCTCGACCCACCTAGTAGTACAAAAGCATGCAAATGTGAATAGATAAATAGGTACCATTTCAGTGAGAAGATAGCAGTGTTCTATGTGCTCAATAGTCAGGATGGCCACATGACCACAGAAGTATCTACAGACAACGCTGGTGTCAACTCTGAAACTAGACTGACCAAGGCCGTCTTGGAAGCTTTGGTGCTGCCACAATGGTACTAAGGAAC